CCCCACGGGATAAATTTTTTCCTTTAACCTCAATTTTTTGTTGTGTTTTGAGTATATTAAATTTTTTTTTTATTTGGGGACAATTTTTTTTATCCCGATCTCTTGTTTTGTGGGAAAATGGGGGTTTTTGGTTTGTATTCTCCTTCCCAAATAAAACTCCCATTATTTGGTGGTTTAAAATTTTAATTTTTTTGGGAGAAAAATTTTTTAAAACTCGTGTGAGTGTTTTAAATTTTTTATCAGGCTGCCTCCTGGTTTTTATTACTGCAAAATATTATTTGCTATATTCCTCCAATTTTTTGGTGGGGCCTTTTAAATTTAAATCCCCCAGGAGCAAGAAAGTTGGGTGGGGGTGGGTGGAAGATTTTTTCCCCGCAAATGGTCTTTTTTAAAAAGCTGTTCCTGGAAATTTCGGGGATTTGCATCCGGAGGTTTTGTAACTACCACAATGCTTTTTTTTGGTTTCCCTCGACCTTTACTGCTAAAACTTCCACTACATCATTTGAGGCATTAAGCATTTTTCGTGCAAACAAGTGCTCTGAAAGTACAGGCCCCCCCCCCCCCCCCCTTTTGCCTGTTCATTTTTGTCACATCTGTATAGGTTGTAACCGGGGACCATATTTGTTGCCCCAAGTGATCCTTTTATAGGGGTCCCGTGAAACCGGAAACATTGCCTTTCCCTCTGCAAGCAGTCCCGGTGAAAGGTTTTTTGTTTTTTTGTTGCGGGTTTTTAGACCCTGTATATTTGCAAAGAAAAGTCATCGGACTGGTGGTATTGTTGGTACTGGGGGGGATTTTTTTTCTGGCTTAGTATCGTATCTGTTGGTTTGGAGGGGAGGGCCACGACTGGGGGTTTCCACTCCGGGAATGACTGGATTTGGTTACGATTTCTGTTTTTCCTGCCAGTTTTTTTTCCTTCTGGCACTAAAAAACCCCTCCCTCTTGAGTGGGTGGGTACCCAGGTTTTCCCATGGCCTGGATTTTTTTTACTTTTTGTCCCCTTTTTGGGGTGCCTGGCAATTTAAGTTATAGCACATCTTTCCCGTATGAAGAGGTACACATTTTTAAAGGGGGAAAAACTTTTCAGAAGGGAGTTTGCATTTTCCTGTTGTCATTGGGCAGGCATTTTCTAGGGTCATAGTTGCACGTCCGTTTTTTTTTCCCCGATTTCCCATGTCCCCGCAATACCAATGCATGTACTGCACGGGCCTTGGGTTTCCGTTTTCCTGGGTTTCGGTGACTGTATTCCCTGTTGGGATTTTTCCCGTTTGTTCCTACCTCCCCAGCCCCCCAAAAATGGAGCTCCCACCAGTTTTTTTTTGGTAATATTTCCCCCACTTTGCTTGAAAATCTCTTGTTTGCTATTTCCGGGGGGGGGGGGGTTCTAGTTAGAATATTAGTTTTATCTTATCTTTGACTAACTTTTTTCCCCACTTGGCTCCTGTCCCCTATGGGTCATTTTAAAAGTATTCCTTCCTGCTATAATTCCCGACACCTGGACAAAATTTCCACTTCACCTTACTGTCTCCCCCGGACAGCACCCCGCTTCACCATTTCGTTCCCAGGGCAGCACCCCCACTTTACCATTACTGTCCCCCCCAGGAAAAGCAACCCCCAAACTTCCCCCAATTTTCTGTCTCCCCCGGACAAACACCCCCAGCTTCACCCCTTTCCCGCCCCAGGAACCCGCACCCCCCAGCTTCCCCTATTACGTCTCCCAGGACCCGCCAAAAAAACAGCCCCACATTTTTGACTACCAGGAAAATCACCTTCCCCCGCCTTAAGTTTTTGACTCATGGGCCCGTATCAAGGGCCGTACCATTCAAACCCGACTTTTTTTTTGTTCCCTTTTGGGTTTTAAAAATGCCTTTCCCGGTTTTTTTATGAAAACAGCTTTGTAAAAACCCCTTTTTTAAAACCCTTTTTGATTTTAGTCCAAGATTTATTTTCATTTGGGCATACCCAAAAACAAATTTCCCCCTTTTTAAAAACTGCTTGTTGCTAGTTTCCTTTTGGGTATTGCAGAAGGGGCCCTGAAAACCAATTTCCCCAAAAATGACAATTTATCCATGTGGAAGCCCGTTTGTTTGATTGACTGCAGACTACACAGGGCTTCATAATGATTTGAATGGTTGATTTACTGTAATTCTACTAGCAACCTCTTGAATACTCTATTAATAACCTCCTTAAATGAAGCTCTAGGTCCTGTTTGGCATTTTCTTCCAGAACAGGCCTGTTTCATCACAACTGAACAATTGTTGGGGTTGGAATTTTTCAGCTTCACCATGCCTTATCACACTGTGTATGCCACTACGATTCTTAACCCTTTGAGGGTTTCGGACGTACTAGTACGGCTTACGACCCAGGGTTTTTGACGTACTAGTACGCCTAAATTCTAGCACCCTCAAATCTAGTGGGAGAAAGCTAGTAGGCCTTCATATGAAAGAATGGGTCTATGTGGTGAGTCTAATATTCTTTCACAAGTGCGCCAATAATATTTATACCATTTTTTACACTAATGCAGTAGTCTGCATAACGGTAAATCTTATATTTTTTGTGAGAATAAAAATTCAAAGTGGAAAGCAAAAGAATATAAGAGGGGCCTTGAGACGTGACTAATGACCAGAGGAAATGTCATTTTAGTGCCAGGAATGTCTTTCTTGTTTATTCTGGACCCAATTCGAAAATTGGCATCTTTTGAAATTTGTATGAAATTGGCAAAATTGCTAAATTCTGACCACTGTACTGGATAGCTGAATTTCATAAACGGGTGGTTTCTTGCATCCATTCGATAGAAAAAATGGAGTTCTAGCGAAATATTCATGTTTTTTGTCGACTAGTACAGTGGAATTGGCCGAAAATGGGGCTCAAAGTGGGCAAAATCGCCGATGCGTAAACATCCCCGAGACCGCTAACTACGCGAGAGCATAATTCCGTAAGTTTTCCATCAAATTTCAAACTTTTGGTATCCTTATGATCGGGAAAAGATTTTCTATCTTTTCATAAGAGAATTTTTTTTTTTTTTTTTAAATTTGGCCGACCCTGAGAACGAGTTTCGGAGAGAGCCTGTCGACCCTCAAAGGGTTAAATCTCTCAAACCAACCTTTGCTGGCCTTAAATTCACCAATTTGAGTACTAGTTCCAGGCATTTTTTCCTGTTCACCAGGGTGTTAGTGGACTGCTGTCGGCCACATCCTGGGGGACAAGATTAAGGACCCCAATGGAAATAAGTTACACAGTCCTTGATGATGCACTGACTTTCTGGGGTTATCCTGGGTGGCTAACACTCTGGGGTTAATTGTTTCTTGGTAATTGTTTCTCATTAAGCCACACCAAAAACAGTCTCTCCACTTCTTCGAGTAGTACAGCTGATGGTGGTGCAGCAACAGCTGACGGTGGTGCAGCAGCAACAACAGCTGAAGGTGGTGCAGCAATAGCAACAGCTGACGGTGGTGCAGCAGCAGCAGCTGACCATCGTACGATGGTATTTCAATAGTATTTCTCACCCTTACCACAGGGTTGGCACTAGAAGCTTTCTTTGAGCCCATGGTGGCTTATTTAGCAGTTACAAGCACTAAAAACAATGGAATAATACAAAACTTATCAAATACATGTATGCGTGGAACTGTCCACCCTGGCTTGTAAACAATGAGGGCAGGGCAGCTGAGGCGCTCAGGCTGGACGGACAGGTTCTGGATGAATCATGTTGGGTTTTGAGTTTTTCATCATTGGTCGGGCCAAAATTTTTAACGCTCAAATGCTTCTTTGGGATAAATTTTAAATCATTTAGACAATGCCTTCGTTGAACCGAGGGTCCACTGTACTACGTAATAATAATCTCTTGGGCACATTAAATATCTTTTTTAGGTTAAATTTATAGATATTTTCATTAATCCATCAATCATATTTTCTTTTTCAAAAATTATGTAAGAAAACACGTTCATAGCATAGCACATAAACTGCATATTTATATGCTATTGAGCAGCGAGTTGGGTGGAGGTAAACATTACGTTTTCTCTGGTCGAGTGTTTTAGTAAACGGAATTGGCGTCTGGCCCAGTCACTGCCTTAAAAACCGAAATGTTTACAATTCCGCATGAATTATTCATTCTTTCCTTGTTATAAAGGCATCTAAAAGTAGTTGTTGGAAACGATTAAACCAGTGAAATGGTTTGTCGATGGTAATAATATGGCAGTGGTCTGCAGTGAGGTACCAGATTGTAGCCCAAGGGACTACATATGTGTACCTAAATCTACTGGCTACCTACACTGACTTCCTACAAATAAATACTACTCACTTCTTGCCCTACATTAAGACTATAAATATTTAAAGGTAAGTAATGAATGTACTAACCACTGAAGAGCTGCAACACTATAGTTATCCTCTCTAAAATTTATTTTTTGTTAATATTTTTGGGTGTCTGAAAGGGATTAATTGGATTTACATTATTTCTTATAGGAAATATTACTGTGGTTTTCGGCCATTTCAGATTTAGGCCAACCTTCTAGAACAGATTAATTACGAAAACCAGGGTTCTACTGTATATTAATATCTATTACATTTTATTTTAAATACAAACTAGCTGCAGAAGAAACAAGCAACTACTTCCACAACTTTGGGTGGTCTCGTGCATGCAGAAAATTTGAAATCATAGCACTGAAAATCAATATGGTATGATTACTGACATATCTAGGTACTTTAGTACATTTTCTGTGTGAATGCACTTCAGTTTAGAAGACTAGTTAAAATTAAGTTATGCAGCATATATGTATTATCCCCACAGTACAGAGCAACAGTGCTTGCCCCTACTTTTATGAGCACCATGGCTCAGTATTACAGTATCATCTTTGGACCACTATTAACCCACAAGAAAGTTAAGCTGTATGAACTACATCCATTGAAATACTTTGGTCCTCTTTCCATGGATGTGACCTAAAATAAACACCTTGGTATCTATTTACTGCAGGTGTACAGAAACTTGTCTATGTGTCCAAACTCACCCGAGATTTAACTTGGATCCTTTCAAGTAGTATAAGTATTCTACTACTGAGCAATGGGTCACCTGAAAAATTACATGATAAATTTTACCATTAAATAAGGATATGGGTAAGTTAATAATATGATCAGAATAGTAGTAAATTAAATTCAATATGGACAAAAGCAAAATTCTTATAATGGAAGAAAAACATCTGAAATAAATTGTGTGTGCGCACACATGCGCACACACACACACACAGAGCTTGGCAAAATAATGGAGGTGAGGATAGCTGAAGAGAGCAGAAAGTGGGGGGGGCTACAAGTCTTAGCAGCAGAAGCTAGAATACAGTGCTTAGAAGAACTAAAAATCCTAAAACAGATTACAGAGACAAATGACAATACAGATGTGACATCAGGAACTTCTATGTCAGGCACAGACAAGGGGACAGTAGGAAACAAAGGATATGCTATATGCAAAGGCCCTATCAGACCCAGGTGGGGCCAAGGAAAAGACGAGGAGCACACTAAGATCAAATGACAGGTCTGAAGACAATGAAGGTATGCTATATGCAGAGACTAACAGCCAACTGCAGCAGCAAGGAACAGCTGATCATGAAAGGCAGTTCACTCAGATAGGACAGGGATTGAAGGGAAGAACATTTCAATGGAAGGAACTAAAACACCTCAAGAGGATGCAAAGGGAGACACAGTGGGAGGAGGAAAGTGAGAGGTCAGCTTTTGTCTACGGGCTCCAAGAAGTTGAAGGGGAAACCTACGATGAAAGAAAACAGGAGGAAAAAGCGATCGAAGGCATCATGAAAACAATAGGTGAGGGTGACATGACCCAGGTGACAAATTTTCGGAGAATTGGGTGGTTTGCGAGTGGAAGGAAACGGCCTGTCAAAGTAATTTTCAAGGAAGAATCAGCTCGAACCAGGATCCTGCAAGAGAAAGCATGACTGAGGGACAAACCAGAGTACCGGAGAGTATACCTCGATCGTGACAGAACACAAGAAGAACAGACAATACTGAAAGAGAGGGTACAAAGGCGCAAGGAGGAACGAGAGGCAATGATGAAGATGACCAGGACCCAGACCCAGGAGGAAGGGCAAACTTTTCCCCAGAAACTCCCACAGAAGGACTCCAACAGCGACAACCCCAACGCAACTGAGCAATCTAAACCAAAGCCCACACACTGTTCCCTCTGCTGTCATGTTCAATTGTCGTGTACTTTGCCATTGTATAGAATCAGCCCAAGCCGTACGCCTGCCGTCTCTAGTTTGTATTAGCTTTATGTCGGGATGACATATGTTAGCGTCACTGAGCTCTCAGTAGTATCAGTTCCTAGTAGTACCAGTTCCCAGTAGTACCAGTAACCAGTTACCAATACTATGACTCACTACCAACCGTCTGCGTGAATCACCGACTGTTATTCATGTTGCTGCTGACCATAGCATGTTTTGAATGCCGCTCACCCCTACGGCCCAATTCGTGAGTCAGTCTTAAGATAGAGAGCAGAGGCGCAGGGCGGCACAGCTTCTTCCCATACTTTCCGTTATAATTATACGTACTAACCAGCCTACATGAGTGTTCTTACCCAATCCACGTTATCGAACCCCCACATGACACTGCCACCAACCCCCACCCTTACAGCTGCCCCCATGGGCATTCTGACCCCACCCCCCTCATCACAAACCCCACCCACACCACAACCCCCATAGGCCCCCACCAGGGATCCCACTCTCCCAATCCCAATATTCTCCCAGGACCACAGCGACAGAAAAGAAGCTGAAGGTTTGGTACACGAATGCAGACAGAATAATGAATAAATATGAGGAGTGGCACGAAAGAATCAGTGAGAACTCCCCAGACATCATAACAGTCACAGAAATGAAACTCACTGAGACAATAACAGACGCAATCTTCCCACCGGGATATCAGATCCTGAGGAAAGATATGAGTAGTAGAGGGGGAGGAAGGGTTGCACTGCTCATAAAAAAAGATGGGGATTTGAGGAAATGGAAGGCATGGAAGAGGTTGGAGAAAGGGACTACATAGTAAGTACAATTCAGTCTGGTGAACATAAAGTAGTCATTGGAGTGATGTATAACCCACCACAGAACTGCAGCAGGCCAAGAGAGGAGTACAAAGAAAACAACAGAGCGATGGTCAACACGCTGGCTGAGGTGGCAAGAAGAGCTCACTCAAGCAGAGCAAAGTTACTAGTTATGGGCGATTTCAAAAACAGGGAGATCGACTGGGAAAACCTGGAGCCACATGGAGGTCCTGAAACATGGAGAGCCAAGATGATGGATGTGGTACTGGAAAACCTCATGCATCAACATGTCAGAGACACTACCAGAGAGAGGGGAGGATGAACCAGCAAGCCTGGACCTTGTGTTCACCCTGAGCAATTCAGACAGAGGACATGACTTACGAGAGGCCCCTTGGAGCTAGTTACCAAGTGACTTCAGTCATAGAGTAGTTAGGAAGTGGAATAGCATAGCAAGTGAGGTAGTGGAGGCAGGAACCATACATAGCTTTAAGATGAGGTATGATAAAGCTCATGGAGCAGGGAGAGTGAGGACCTAGTAGCACTCAGTGAAGAGGCGGGGCCAGGAACTGAGTATCGACCCCTGCAACCACAATTAGGTGAGTACACAGTGATACATCGAGTTACAAACTTAATTCCTTCCAGAGGGCTGTTTGAGTGCCCATACCAAACAAATTTGTTCCCATAAGGAATAATGTAAATTAGATTAGTCCATTTCACACACCCAAAAATACACTTACAAAAGCACTTTCAAAAATACACTTACATAATTGTTCAAATTGGGACCTGCTCGAAACTCAAGGTACCACTCTATACATGTACATACATATACTATATATATACAGTGGAACCTTGCCTTACGAACGCCCCACCATGCGAACTTTTCAGGATACGAGCCATCGTTCGGTCAATTTTTTGCTTCTGGATATGAACGAAATTTCAGGATATGTACTTCCCCCTCAAGGGAGGTTCCTTAAATAAATAAAATATTTATTTTTTTGCTAAGGTTACAATATTTACAAAGGTTACATATTAAGTTAGCAATAGACCTAGGCATTAAAAACAATAAAAAGTAAAATACATACACAGTACACTCATTATTTACCTCAAAATATTTGTAATCTTAATGTAGGGCAAAAGGCGAGTAGTACATATTTATTGAAAGAAGTCAGGTGTGGTACGCATGGTAGCTCTCCTGGCCACCCCACCCACATGTCATATACAACGACGTTTAAAGTGCTCTAGAGTGATAAAATGCATATACAGTACACTCATTACTTTAAAATATCTGTAGTCTTAATGGTCTTAATGAAGGGTGAGATGTGAAAAGCATTTACAGTGGAACCTCAGCTTATGAACGCCCCACCATGCAAACTTTTCAGGATACGAACCGTCATTCGGTTCGTATCCTGTTCAATGACAATGCCTTGTCCCATTCTAGGGAAATCTTAAATAGACACCAGAAACAGACCTCTCTGGAGCAATTTTTTGAGCAACAGGGGTCCAGTGACTCTCAAGCTGGTTCTAGTGCCATTAAAAAACAAAGAAGGGAAGTAATCCCAGATAAGGACTCAGTACCTAAAGTCTTTATGGGAAGGGATTCCCCTTCCAAACAATAGTAACTTCTCCCTCTCCCCTCCCCCCATCTTCCATACACCAACAAGAGTCTTCAATAAAGGGACAGTGGAACCTCAAATTTTGAACTTAATCCGTTCCAGGAGCTAGTTTTAAAGTCGAAAAGTTTGAAAGGTGAAGCAATATTTCCCATAAGAAATAATGGAAATACAATTAATCCATCCATTCCAGAAACCCAAAAATATTCACAAAAAAATACATTTTATAGATAGTATTATGTTATAGTTTTACATACAACAAATATGTACAGTGTACAATTATTAACCCTTTGACTGCTTCAGGCCCCTTTCTGAAACTGTCATTCTATGTCGCTAAATTTAAAAAAAAAAAAAAAATCTTATGAAATGATAGAGAATCTTTTCCCGATGGTAATGACACCAAAAGTTCGAAATTTGGTCGAAAACTCATGGAATTACGCTCCCATGAAGTTATCGGTCTCGGCGACATATGCATATCGGTGATTTCGCCGACTTTGAGCCCTATTTTCAGCCAATTCCGTTGTTCCAGTTGACCCAACTCATAGCTATTTCTTTAGAACTCCACTTTATCTATCAGCTGAGTACAAGAAACCTCCCATTTACCAATTTGGACTACCCAATATTGTGGTCAGAAATTGGCAATTTGGCCAATTTCACGCAAACTAAAAATGATGCCAATTTCAAAATAGGGTCCAGAATAAACAAGGTAGACATTCTTGGCACTAAAATAACATATCCTCTGTTCATTAGTCACATCTCCAGGCCCCTCTTATATTATTATTGCTTTCTATTTTGATTTTTTATTCATACAAAAAAATACAAAATTTACTGTTATGCAGACTACTGCTTTATTGTAAAAATGGTATAAATAATATCAGTGCACTAGCGAAAGAATATCAGACTCCCCAGTTGACGTGCATTGGACGTGTGGTGTGATTTGTTTACTCCTGAACATTGGTAAAAATCGAACATTTCCACTACTTTGAGCTCAGTTTCAAGGACGTTTTCATCATCAAAGTAATGAAAATCATCTCAATTTCTGTAATATGTTTTCCATTTTATCACCTAAGACCATGAAAACGCAAATACATCGATAAATACTATACGAAAATACACCTCAAAGTCGGTGTTTTAATCCAAAAAAACGATCAGTTTTTTTTTTTCTCATTACGCACTGTGTGCTGCAGGATTTTTTTTATGTGGTGCACACTGACCATACAGACCCATTCTCTCACATGTGGGCCTACCAGTTTTCTTCCGCTTGATTTGAAGCCGCTAGAATTATTGAGTACATATACGTCTGAAACACTGGCTCGTAAGACGTATATATACGAACAAAACAGTCAAAGGGTTAATAAACATAAATAAACATATAACATTTTCACTTACCTTTATTGAAGATTGGTTATGGCATCTGGT